CGAGGGCGGCCGCCCTGTCTGCGCTGGGCTGTTTGAGTCTGCGGAGGGGGGCGCTGTGGTGGGGCTCTGGCAGGAGGCTCGCGAGAGCGGCCTGCGGAAGAGCTAGCGCGGCGGGGCAGAAACAAATTCATGGCCTGAGTGGCTTTCTGGACCTCGGAAAAGCGATCGACGATTCCCGTGACAGCAGATCCAAAAAGGCCCGTCGGGGAGAGGGGCGCGTTAAGAAACGCGGCGCGCTCAGAATCTCCCATGTCGGCGAGCGTGAGCCATAAGTGTCTCTCGGATACACAAAGGCTGGCCATGCATCTCCCCAGAGCTTGTGCGGCGGCTTTAGTGGCGCGAAGGGCGAGGTCCGTAGCACTTCTCAGATCCGTGACAGCGGGGGAGGGGTTTCTACCGCTCTCGGCCCACTCACGGAGAATATCGCTCTGTAACACTTGGAGGACAGACATAGAATGCAGCGCTGCGGCGGCCTGACCGGCGGCGGCGTAGGCGCGAGCATGAAAGCTCGAGGTCGCTCTGCAAGCTTTCGAAGGAAGCGTGGGGGAAGAGCGCCATCTAGCAGAGGGCGGGCAGAGGTGTGCGGCGACCAAGTCCTCAACGGGCGGCATGGCTGAGTAACCTTTTTCGGCGGCTCCGTCCACCGAGCGCAGCGAGGCGGATATATCGGAGCGGTTTCTAGCCGAGAGCGGGGCATTCCAGGACTTCGTCAGCTCTGTGTGAAGTTCAGGCAGGAATGGGGCGGCCCGGTTGCACGCGGGGGTCGAGCGCCGATGAAAAAAGCTGCCGTCCATCCGGTTCGGGGCCTGCTCGGGTGGAGGAGACCACTCGAGACCGAGGCGTTCGACGGCCTGTGAGAGGAGGCGCATTAGTTCCTCCTCTATCCCGGCGCGGATCCCCGCCGACTCTCTCGTGGATCCGAGAGATGACCATTCCTCACTGTCCGAGCAGTGAACAGGAATCCTTCTCCTCCGCGGCGTCATCGGAAGCGACAGAGCGGCCACTCGGCGGCAACTGTATGTCCGGCTGGGGCGGGGAGGGAGAGCGGGAAGCGGCGGCGGCGGCCCGCATGGTTCCGCAGGGGGCTCCGGCGGCCTCTGGGAGCGGCGTTTCTTTTTACGCGGCGAAGAGGGAGGCGGCGCGGGAGCGGATTTTGCCGCCAGAAGTCGTGCCCGCAGGGACGACAACGGCAGGCTCTCACAGAAGTCGCATCCTCCATCCGCGAGGGCGAGTTCTGCGTGCTCGAGTCCCAGGCAGAGAGCGCAGATGACATGGCGGTCTCCGTCCTCGAGAGGAGCGCGGCAAGAGCCGCAGGAAAAACGAGACATCTTTAAAAAGACGCTCGGCTCTTTTAGATATAGAGAAAAGAAGGATACAGTCGTCGGATGGCGCTAGCTTGCAGGGCGGCTGAAGGTGGCGAAGACGGCCGGCTTCTTCAGGGTCCGGGAGCTCGCTAGAGTGATGCCTTCTCGACGGCGACGGCTTTTCTCAGGACAGCAGAAGCGTGTAGCTTGCTGAAGATGAAATGAATCAACATATAAGCCTGGGAGAGACTGTTATATACACCATAGCCACGCCCATTCTGGCGGGCCATGATGCAATGAGCGCGCGGGCGCTTCTCATTGGCAGCGGGTTCAGCCCCGCTCTCCCATAGGCTTAAGCAGTTCTCTCTGAGCGAACCAATGAGCTGCTAGCTAGCCTGCTCTAGGTCTGCCGCAGAGGAACTGCGTTGTCAATGGATACAAATTATGAAATAATTGTTTGGCTTCAAACTCTCAGCAAAGATGAATCTTTCCCGCCTCTCGTAAGAGAACCATAGATATCGTAGTTAGTTCTTACGCCCGTTAACACTTTCTCTGACAAGCGGATGCAATGAGACCCGTTTTCCGGTTTGGTCACGTGACGCTCGGCATAAAGCCTATTCTCTTCAGTTTAACGTTTAAAAGGATAGTTCACCCATTAATGAACATCCAGGCATCATCCCATTCCAAATCCATTTGATTTTCCTTCTTGCATAGAACACAAAATGAGATATTTTAAAGAATATACTGGTTGTTCATTTTCCAAGCAATGAATCAGTATTGGAGCTTTCAGCCATCAAAAAGTGTAATAAAAGCAGCCCAACCACTATTTTAATATATAATCTATATAATATATCTTTATGGCGTCCTAACTTCTGTTTAGACTGTTCACAGTCCAAAACCAGTCAAAACTTCTTGGAAGACTCCTGAAACTAACCATGTGTGACTCTGAGGTTGACAGAAACTATAAGTGAGTGGGACATATCTGTTTTGCACCATCTATGTCAATGCAACCCACACCTTTGGAGATATGCAAGATTTCATTCCTTAGCCACACACACACACACACACACAAAAACGTACTGTCAGACTGCTGATGCTGCCTGGTAAGATATTTACATTAGGTAATTACACAGCAGAACAATCTTTTTCACAATCCTTTTTTTAAAGTCTTGTTTCACAGTAAAAAAAAATAAAAAATCCTTACAACCAGATATGTCATTTAAGAAGAAAAAATGCATACGACCCCACACTGACCCCAATTTAGACATTTAAAAGGTATAGTCCACCCAGAAATGAAAATTCTTTCATCATTTACTCACCCTCATGCTGTCCCAGATGCAAATTACTTTTTTCTGATGAAGATTTTTTTTTTAAATAATCCATCTCTGTGAGTCCATATAGTGTATGGGACCTCCCAATTTTATGCTTAAAAAACACACACTTCCAGTCAACTGCCAAATGCTGTCATCAGCATTTTTAGAAGGGTAATGTGAATGTGCTTCACAACATGCTGACATTCATGACAAGCAAACGTATATACACTCACTCAGGATTATTAGGAACACCTGTTCAATTTCTCATTAATGCAATTATTTAATCAACCAATCACATGGCAGTTGCTTCAATGCATTTAGGGGTGTGGTCCTGGTCAAGACAATCTCCTGACCTCCAAACTGAATGTCAGAATGGGAAAGAAAGGTGATTTAAGCAATTTTGAGCGTGGCATGGTTGTTGGTGCCAGACGGGCCGGTCTGAGTATTTCACGGTTACTGGGATTTTCACGCACAACCATTTCTAGGGTTTACAAAGAATGGTGTGAAAAGGGAAAAACATCCCGTATGTGGCAGTCCTGTGGGCGAAAATGCCTTGTTGATGCTAGAGGTCAGAGGAGAATGGGCCGACTGATTCAAGCTGATAGAAGAGCAACTTTGACTGAAATAACCATTCGTTACAACCGAGGTATGCAGCAAAGCATTTGTGAAGCCACAACACGCACAACCTTAAAGGCGGATGGGCTACAACAGCAGAAGACCCCACCGGGTACCACTCATCTCCACTACAAATAGGAAAAAGAGGCTACAATTTGCAAGAGCTCACCAAAATTGGAGAGTTGAAGACTGGAAAAATGTTGCCTGGTCTGATGAGTCTCGATTTCTGTTGAGACATTCAGATGGTAGAGTCAGAATTTGGCGTAAACAGAATGAGAACATGGATCCATCATGCCTTGTTACCACTGTGCAGCCTGGTGGTGGTGGTGTAATGGTGTGGGGGATGTTTTCTTGGCACACTTTAGGCCCCTTAGTGCCAATTGGGCATCATTTAAATGCCACGGCCTACCTGAGCATTGTTTCTGACCATGTCCATCCCTTTATGGCCACCATGTATCCATCCTCTGATGGCTACTTCCAGCAGGATAATGCACCATGTCACAAAGCTCGAATCATTTCAAATTGGTTTCTTGAACATGACAATGAGTTCACTGTACTAAAATGGCCCCCACAGTCATCAGATCTCAACCCAATAGAGCATCTTTGGGATGTGGTGGAACGGGAGCTTCGTGCCCTGGATGTGCATCCCACAAATCTCCATCAACTGCAAGATGCTATCCTATCAATATGGGCCAACATTTCTAAAGAATGCTTTCAGCACCTTGTTGACTCAATGCCACGTAGAATTAAGGCAGTTCTGAAGGCGAAAGGGGGTCAAACACAGTATTAGTATGGTGTTCCTAATAATCCTTTAGGTGAGTGTGTATATACACTACCGTTCAAAAGTTTGGGGTCGGTACGATTTTAAATACTTTTAAAAGAATTCTCTTCTGCTAACCATGGCTGCGCTTATTTGATTAAAAATACAACAAAAATCAGTTATAGTATTAAATATTATTCCAGTGTAAATCAGCTGTTTTCTGTGTGAATATATAGTAAAGTGTAATTTATTCCTGTGATCAAAGCTGAATTTTCAGCATCACCAGTGTCAGTGTCTTCAGTGTCAAATGATCCTTCACAAATCAGTATAATATGAGGATTTGATGCTCAAGAAACATTTATTATTATTATCAATGTTGAAACAGTTGTTGGTCTGTCAGTTTTTTTGGTTTTTTTTAGGATTCTTTGATGAATAGGAAGTTCAAAAGACTTGTGTAACATTATAAATGTCTTTACTGTCACTTTTGATCAAATTAATTATTCCTTGATAAATAAAGGTATTGATTTCTTTCCTCCAAAAAATAAAAATAAAATTCTCACTGACCCCAAACTTTTGAACGGTAGTGTATATACACATTTATTGTTATAGTAGCTATAATTTAGCTTCAGAAGACATTGTTTCGCAAACTGGGGACATATGGATTAGTCATGTTCACTTTGTATGTTTTTTTGAAGCCTCAACTTTGAGGGATCTACTCACTTGCATTATATGGACTCACAGATTTTTTTCCTAAAAATCTTTGTTTGTGTTTTTCTGGAGTAAGAAAGTCATATACATGTGGGACGACATGAGGGTAAGCAAATGATGAACGAATTTTTAGGTGGAGTATCCCTTTAAGCCACCCTTAATAAATTCTATACAGTATGTATTCCCTGAAAATCTTTTTAAGGATGTTTAGATAACTGGAAAACTAGACAAAAATACTGAAGAATGAAGAAAGTAATAGTCACACAAGCCCTAGTCTGGATCATGTAAGTGTACACTCACCCTCTCCTCCTCCTCCCTCATGTCAGGCATGGTGCTGACACACAGTGTAACAGCCGTGATGGCCACAAACACCACCGAGAGGCAGGCAAAGATCTTCCCAGGAATCCCAGAGTGAGGGTTCTCCACCATGTCTCTGAGGCTGTGCATGCACCCCGCCAGACGACCCTCCTCTGGGACCCCGACACCCGGCGCCTCCTCATACGACTGGGGTGAGGTCAGCTCGACCTCCTCCTCCTCCTGCCGGAGTCTCTGCCGCTGCTCCTCCTGCCGAAGACGCAGTTTTCTCAAGCAACACCACTCCAGACTGGCCTCCTCCACACCCCAATACAACAGCTCCTCCTGAAAGGACAGCGCGCACATCTCCCGCAGAAGACGGAGTTTCCCGGCCGCCAGGAACGTAACGATGGAGCGGAAGGCGCTGGGGCTTCGGTCGAAGAAGAACTCATTGCAGTGCGCGTCATAGTCATCACATAGGTCGAGGATTTCCTCGGCATTGCTGCAGCTACGTAACTTCCCCAGGCGCGTCAGTGGGAACTCCTCAAGAGTGGACCATGGTATGCGATAACGGATGCCGCCCACATTGATGATGGCGGTACGGTCAGCTAAAACACCCTCGTCTGCTCCAGCCCCTCGATTCCGGTGAACCTCGTCCCTCTGTACGCCGGGCTTGCGCTGAATTTGCACGCGTTTGTAGAACACACCCTTTTTGCTGCTGATTTCATGGGGGTTCTCCAAAGTTTTAAAGTGGAAGGAGGTAAACTGATGATCAGTGCTGCCTGCTAGGAAAGCCACCTCTTGGTACATCTCTGCCACGTGGCTGTGCAGGTCGTACACTCCACAAATACACAGTCTACCAGGTCACGGTGGTCATCATGGCGGAGCTTTGAGAGATAAAAGAGGCAGATATTAATAATGAAGACGCTATAGTTCCTGCTCCTGGGTGCAAGCACAACGGGCACAACACAAAAAGATTCTTTGGTCAAGATATATCCAAAACACACTGGAAATACTCCACAAAACAAAAGGAAAAAGTCTCTTGTACACTGCACATAATTAAGTTTTCCGGTTTTCAAACAGTTTTGTATTGTTGCAATATTGCTAGTATGTGAAAGAATAATGAGCACTTTTTCTTCATGTTATCTGCACCCAGATATGCCTATTAATTGTCAGCAAATATCCACCAGTTGATGCAAAACGTGTCTTTTTGACAGCTACGGGGCTTTTGTTAAAACTACAGATTGGACATCTGCATTTTTATATTCCCGCCCATGGACAGTCGGAGTGACAGAAAGGAAGAAAAATGCATTATGGGTGTTTTTTTCTGTTTTCTCTTGTCATGTAGCACAGATTTAAAATAAATAAATAAATGTGTTTCTACTGCCAGCCAAGCTTTGATAACTCTTTCAGTATTTCAGTTATTTAAACGGTTTCCCTGAATGTCTGAGTTAGAAACATTTCTGTCACCTGATTGGAGTTTGAGGTCTTTGCGACTGTCGCCATTGGCTTGCTTAGTTGGGAACACAAAATATTCAATAATATTATTGTTTTGACTGCACTGACACTATTAGATGAGAACAAAACTTAAACTGAATTGAGCTGGATGATGACAACACTATTTCAGTGCTACTTTTATAGCTGATTCGAATTTGTTTCATAATTGGCGAATTTTGCACTGTTATTACACTGTTATTGAACTGAACTGAATCAACATTGAACTCACAGTGAATAATGCACAATTTTCTTCTGAAATGAATCAACACCGAACTGACTTCAGCTAAATAATAATACTGTTGTCTTTACAGCAGAATTGAATTCTGTTTGCATCATTGATCATCACTTTCCTGTTTATCACTGTATTATTTTTTCATATGTTTAATGTCCCCTTTAATGTTTAACCCCTGCAGACCCTTTAAGCCACAAAAACAACAACATAATGAGACGCAACACAATCAGAGCTAGACATAACGCAAGGGGACTGTGCACAACTTCCATTGTGTTGTGTCTTAAAGGAATAGATCTGGTTGTTATTTTTCCCTGTGTAATTACAATTAATATGGACTAGTCCTTTCAGCTTCAAAAATGGACACAAAAGAACTGTGTGCTTGAGGTATATTCCATGTCTTCTGTTCTGAAGCCATATAAAAGCTTTGTGAGGATCAGAATAAAATTAATCGTTATTCAGTCACAATAATGCCAGTCACATTAGCACCCTGTATTGTATGTGCACTTGTGGTGTACTTTAAATCTTTAAGTTTACACCTGTATAAATATATAAGAGTACACTTTCATGACTGTTTCTTAACACACTTAAGAATTCTGTCTTAAGAATTATGTTTTACTTTAAAGTACACTTTAAATCACTGTTTTAATAATCTTTTAACATGTTTTAACAAGTACACTGATTATAATGTGTTGAATAACATACTAAAGCACATGTATTTGATTATAAGTGTAACTATTGTGTGTTCTTTATGCCCGATTCACTATTACATTTTCACAGACAAGTCTTAAGCCAAGTCCCAGACTAAAATGCATGTTTGAGCTGTTTTACCATAACTGAAAGCAACTTGCACTGACATATCTTAAAATATGTCAGTGCCGATGTTTTGTCTCAAGATGCACACCAGTAATGTTTTTTTTTTCTCTCTCTAGGGCACATTTATAAAAAGCTACTTAAATTCCCTAATTGAAAGCCCAACTCCTGGCTTAATCTAAGCCTTGTCTGTGAAACCAGGCCTTAAAGTTAATGTTTGGAAAATTTACTAAATTGCTTCATTACTACAAATATATTTCAATACATGACATACAGGTTTCAAAATAAATTACATTAAAAGTATATTTTAGTTGAACATAAATTCTTGTCAGTACATTTAGCTTAACCGTATTATAATGACAATAGAAACATATATAAAATGTCATACAAAAATGTTCTTAAGTCTTACTGAAAAAACACTTTCAGCTAAATACATTTAAAATACATTTAAACTACAATACATTTTCATTTAATTGCAATTAATATGGAATTAAGTCTCTCTAAGTTTTCTCTGCCCTGAAGATTTTGAGTGAAAATGAGTACACTTTTGCACGGGTGCAGAATTGAGCATTTCCAATCCATCATTCCATGAACTCTGGATTAAGAATAGCTTCAGCACGTTGACTGTCTCAAGGGCAAAAATACTCAGAATAGTATTTACTCATATAGGTTAAAAATAACATAATATAAAATACTCATATAGGTTCTTCCATCAGTCCCATGGCTTTGGAAGTCGTAATTGCTCACGAGTCTCGGGATGCAGTAAATTCATGTCACAACACAAGTTGAATCCCAAAGCAGAGGAATTAATTATGATGTTTTCTTTTCTATTCATGGGTAAGTTCCTAAATGAGCCATGTTCTCTACACAATGGCAGAGTAAGGTCCAATGCGCTCAAACGAACATTGGGTATAATTAGTGCAACTGCAATAAGAGATTTATGAAACAGACCTTCTCACGCCAGAGGATTCAATCTGTAATTCTGGGAAAAAGCCATCGGTCTCACAAAGGCTAGTCAGCCTTTAGTTAAATTAAAGCATGATGTATTCAAACAGCATATCTGAGCAGAAAGGAATCTCAGACTGTCGTCTCCCTCGTTATATTTATTAAGACGTCAGAAATGAATAATGAAAGGTGGTGCTATCATAGTGAATATTACGGAACTTCAAAAAGCAGCAGGCAGAATGTTAAAGCTCACTTAAATCAAATCAAGTTTTTATTTCAATCCCAATTTTAACTTAATTTATATTATAAATGAAATCTCTTTTAGAGTGACTCATCTATGTTTTGATTTAAGAAGCAATTAAAGAAACTTTCGAACATCATACATGATACAGCTTCTGTCTCGGCTTTAATTCTATTTATCAACATGTTGCTTGAGCACCGAGGCCTCTGTCAATCCAAATGAATCAGTGTCTAACTGAAACATGCCATGTGTTACCACTCAATCCATGAGTCAATATATGACCCAGCATTTCCTGCATGAAGCTCATACTGTGAATGAGCTCAAACTGCACATAATGTGCCAGTTGAAGTAGGCACCAAGGCATTTTGGAAAATGCAAATGAGGCAGACTTTTCTCTTGACCAAAGATGACACTGGGAAGCTACATGTAACGATGATGAATGATTTTTACTCAATATGTTTGAGTAAAGTAAAGCAATGCGTTTTTCTGGTTCTGCTGGAAGTGCTGAGGACACTGCTTTATTAAAGCGAGATCTGTGGGTTTACAGGGGGTAACAGAGAGGTCAAAAACAGAGAGAATGTCTGAAGGAGTATTCACTTCTTTATGGCAGCTAGCGCTCAAAGGAAAAGCTCAAACTGCGGTGGCCTCTGAGGACCATTCTGTGATCAGACAGTTATGTCTCAATGCTCTTCTGAATTTAATGCAAGTCTCTCTCCCCAGACAGACTGTTTTTTCCTTGTGACAGTAAAGACATTTATGATGTAACATTTCTATTTCAAATAAATGCTGTTCTTTTTAACTTTCTATTCATCGGAAAATAGTCGCGGTAGGACAGCATAAATCTGTAAAAATATGTAACACAGAACAGATAACGTCAAAGACGTCCGTTCAAATTTCATTTTGGAACTATTTTTCAACCATGATGGGACGTGTCGGAGGGACGTCTTTTCAACGGTCATTAAACGCCCAAATGTTTGCAGGGGAGTTATGGCTGCTGAAAATTCAGCTTTGCCATCACAGGAATAAAATATAAAATGCACTTTAAAATATATTACAATAGAAAACAGTTATTTTACATAGTATTAACATTTTGCAATGTTACTGTTTTTACGGTCTTTTCGATCAACCTAATGTAGTGAGAATAAGAGACTTTAAAAAAACATTTAAAAAATCTTACAAACCCAGAATTTTTATACAGATCTACTGTATTGTAGTGTATAATATGAAAACATGAACACACATACATGCACAAAAGGAGTGAAAACATAAAACATTGAGATGAAATTCCCTAAAGGCAAAGAGTGTAAGAGGGTGTTCAGACTGAGACAGTGTGGGCAGAGCTGTATGTCTGCTAGTTCTTTCTTTCTTTTCTTTCCCTTTCCAGTCTATTCCTTTAGTCCTGTGGGTCTGTATTGAAGTAAGAAGTTGGTTTTGAAGCTGGTCTGTGTGAACGATGGTTAAAGACCTTGAAGGCCCCCCACCCCCCAAATTATATACAATATCCCGGAAATCGAGTGAGTGAGAGAGAGCCTGCCCTGTTTCCACCTTTTCGGTGATCCGATCACAAGTGGTCAGCCAAGACACATTCTATACGTCTTCTATGACCACTCTTTTTTCGTCACACTCAACTATACATCACTTTCACTTTCGGCGCACAAATGCTATTGAATGAATGAACCTGTGTTAGGAGACTTATGCGAATAATATAGTATAATAATATTAGTATCACTAATAATCATCTTAAATATTACTAATCACCAATTTGTGATAAAAATAAATATCACTAATAGGCTAATGGCTATTTGAGTGAGGCGATTCAATCTCTGGTTTTTAATAGAGGAAAACAGAAATAAGTACTGGCTAAGGGGATTTTACGGTAGCGTACTAATATTTAACTAATATTTAAGCCAAAAACTGTATAGCCTTATATATATATATACATGGCTTTGTACATTGCTTTCAGACATAATAATTTAATGGCATTAGGTTTTGCTTTTGGATATAGCTTCTACATTATTAGAGACTACTTTTTGTCAAACTTGAGTTTGTTTTTTGTTAATTTGTTAAATTAATTTGAAGTGTCAGTTTTAGCATCATTTACAGTCAAATCTGGACACAGAGAAAGCATTTTGTTACTCGTCATCATACTAGTTTATAGCTTGATCAGTCAAACGAATGTAATCAGAATATTGACACAATGAGATATCTGGTCTGTGGTCTCTCCTTTTTGAAAAACTCAGTGATTGACAAATTCAGATTCAAGTAGCTTTATTGGCATGGTAAAAAGTCTTTTCATGGTAAAAATTGCCAAAGCATTGACAGGGCTCTGAACCAATTGTGTTGAGCCTTGTTAAATTTACAGGCAACAATGGGCATCGAATAAGGCAGTGATTGACAGCGCTCTAATCTAGTAGCATTGGGCATAGTCTGACTAGGCCTATACCTGTTCTTGACAAGCGCCAGTTTAGAAAACGAGCATTCCGCTTTTCGGTGCTGTAAATCCATTTATCCTTTGCTGAAACTTCCTCTTCGTCATGGAGAGAGCGGGAGCGTAAGCTTGCATGCCCGAGCACTTTGAAAATAAGGAGAAAAGCGTTCTTAGACGCGACATGAGAACTATCCCTAAAATCCGTCATGTGCGCTGTGCGCTCGTCAATTGCCTGTTATTTTAAAACCTCCGACCGACCAGTAACTACTGTAATTAGGCCACTAATACTGTAGAAATAGATTCATAATAAAATATTTGTAAAAAAACGCTGAACAGAGGCCCCCTGATCACGTAGGCCCCTAGACTGCAGCCTTTGCGTTAATCGGCCCCTGCCTTGGAGCCTGTCATCACAATTAGCAATCGGCACAGATCCATTCTAAGATGCCTGTAACATTGATTTCCTTTTTGTGAACTACTTCATCAAGGTCCCCGTATAGATATATTGAAGCACAGCCACACAAACTCTCCAGCACAGACAGACAGCTGAGGTCTTATGGGGTGGTGCGAGATGAAAAGGAACGGCGTACAGGAGCCTGTATGAGTGATGGTGCTGATGATGAGTGTTGCGGTGCTGTGCTGTGCGTCTCCCGTGGAAGATGAAATTCAATAGTGCTGATGGGGAGATTTCTGCTACGGCACTTTGAGGTAGAGACAGTTTAAGGCACTCATGAATCAATATGAGGTATTTGTGCTTGTTCTTAATAGATGACGACGTTATTCACGCCGCTGTGCTGTAAAACGAATGGGAAGACAATAAGTGGATTGTTTTTCTGTCAGTTTTTCTGTCTCTAGTGATGGGTTACGCTGCTAGGCAACCCTTAAAGTTTATGATAAAACTGCAAGTCCTCTCATTCAACAAAACACACAGATTAACTGTGCGCTGTTTCAAACCAAAAACATATTATTCATTTAAAAAAAAAAATAATATTAAGAATTCAAATGAATTCTATTTTAATATATTAACTTTAACATTAAGATTTTTTGGTTTTCCGTAAGTGTTGATTAAAATAAATCAATTGATATTAATGTGCAAATTAGGCATTTGCAAGATGCTTTTATACAAACAAACTTTTTTTCTCAGTTAATTACCTGGGAATGGAACCTATGACCAAAGTCTTGCTAGAGACAGGACCAGGATAACTCCATAGCTTGGAAAATAAATGAAAAAAAAAAAGATGTGCACATCATACTCAATTCAGACACTAGAAATTGATTCATTTAAATAAATCTCTGCTGGATAACTGCGACAGGTTTGGGGTCTGTTTCATTTCTAATTAAGGGGTCATTTCTCTCAGCAGTAGTAATACAGAAAAAACTGTCAGATCCTCAGTATTAAAAACACATTTATGAATGAATTTAAGATGGACAGAAAACCAAGAGACTGTCAAGAAGTTTTAAGTGACAAGAAAAAGTAAGTATAGCCTTCTTATTATCTTTCAAGACTTTAATACACACTTATGCATTTATGCATGTCACAGGTTATGCATGTCACAGGTTAACTATTTTAAATTATTTTCAGACATACTTCAAACAGACATTATTTATTACGTTTTTTTTTATGGTTAAAAGACTGTGTTAATAGCCATTGTACCAAATGTAGCCTACTTTAACTCATGCGTTAGACAGTAATGTGTCACCAACTCAACCAAATGATAAATACCATTAAAACCTAGATGTCATTTAATATCCAAAGGACTTATACTATCCATTCCACCAAAATAAACATGTTAATTATGTCACTTCAATAATAGGTCAGTGGCTTGCATATCACCTCACTCTTTTCTTTATCAAACACACATTGCAATGAATTGCAGTTGTCCACAACCATCTAATTAAGTTTTCTTTTTCTAACACTTTTAACTTGTATTTGCTTAGTCATTTATAATATGGGTTAACAGTGATATTTATGAATATATAGCTTATATGAATATAAATATATGATGTCAAAGTTTCATGACAACCCTAACAAGTTACTTAAATGTACAAATTTGGAAAGCATTACAATCATATTAAAATATTATAGAGTGGCCATTAAAACTCACAGTCTTTTAATCATCCTAGTTTTAGTTTGCAGCTTTAAAAATGATCTAATCATATTGTTTTGCCACAGCTGATATGAAATGGATTCATCAATGTGCTGGTAAAATGAAGCCATGTTTTTATTAAATATAGCTTAAAATTATTAATTCTCAGTTATGTAACTTTATAGTTTGCCATCTTGATTTGCCTGAAATCGCAAACTCCTCTATTCCGTGTTATAATATCATCTACAGAGAAACAGAGGAGTGTAATATTAATAAATACTAATGAAACGCAGTAGATATGAAATATAGGTTTTGTATTAAAACCAATTAAGCGATTTCCAAACATAGCGGTTTGGAAGTCAGAAGAGCACCGCACAAGCTTTGGATAAGCAGTGCTTTATTTACCTGCTATTGCGATAACGCACACAGAAACAAACATATAAGAGCCGGAGATATGAACAGACTTATTGCAAACAAATACAAACTCGAAAAAAATACAAAATGAACAGTCGACTTACCCGTTTTAAGCCCATTGATTTTGCGTTGCCCTGCTCATTTTCAGCTTGGACATGTAAGTTGTGCTGCGATGCATTTGCACATTTAGGCTACTTTTATTCCTTTATCCGTATTGCTGGATGATTTGATTCCAGCATCAGACTGACTCCAGCTCATAGCTCCTTCACAACTGCTAAAGTTCCTCAGTCTTCGTGTCAGAACACCGGATCTGTTAATGGGTGTTACTGCTGCTCTCACGCGCACACTCGAGTCCCCATCTCACCCCGAGTCTGCTTGCTTAGTAATAACAGAGCATTACCATGCAGAAATACGTTAAAACACTTCTCTCTCTCTCTCTCTCTCTCTCTCTCTAATTTTACTAATTAAGTTATCCACATTATAACCCATCCTGCTGTGCTGAACAGCTCATTTGCGCGTGAATGTGGACGGGATGTAGAGGAGCTCTTTCTGTCGAGTTTCAAAACATTAGCCTAGATATTTAACTTTTTGTCACTCGTTTTCCATTACATCATGTCTCATTGGTGTAGATTTTAGCAGTTCTCATGGGCGTGTGTAGGTAATTCATCAATAAATAGAAGCATATAGGCTAATTATATAGGCTATTAATATACATTTTTATAGATAATAACAAAAATGTAATCTATATAATATTGAAATACAGGGTAATTTTAAGTATTGTATAGCCTACTGTAAACAAATAATGTGAATTGAGCAGCTCAACTAGACTGGTTTTGACCAAAATGGTTTGGAAAAAACATATCCTTTAGATTGCATACATTAGAAAACATGAATAGAAGAGCATATAAAATCTTAGTCACTTTCTCATATTTTTCTGTGAGTCCGATCTTCTGAAATGGACACAGTCTGACCACTAAAGGGAGACAGAGAAGTCGATTCTTCTATCACAGTCACAGACTGTCAATGAGCTGTAATGTCAATTTGTCCCCTCAGGTTCACATCTTTCTTTTTGTGTCCATTAGGCTACCTCAAATTTCCGTCATGACACCTCGAAAACAATTCCTGATTAAGGTCTCAACCGAAACGTTGTATTGACTTACGTGCTGTATTGGATTTTGACTTGTATCCATTCGGCTATAAATTACCTGAGAATAACCTGGGAAGAGACCTAGGGACATTTTAAATGGTTTTAAAACATCCCTTACAGCACCTTTAATGACAGACACAAAGGCACAATTAATAAACATTTGGCTCCTGCAATGCACTTAAAGAATGAAATAATGATTCCCACGACCAGCTCAGAATAAACGGTGTATTTCCTGTTTACAATCATGTTGCTTTGCTCTGAGAGAAATCAAAATTAACAATGTATCAGGAGAGGTTTGTAATTAAGGCTGAGAGCTGATGTGTAGAAACACGTCTGTATGTCAGATGCTCAGCATCATATTGCTCATTATTGTTTTCTGCACACCAAACAAACTCTGAACATTATGCAAATCATCTGAGTTTAATAAGCGCGAACTAGTTGTATATTTTAATTGTGAAGTCGAAAGTTGTCTGTTTTCTCTTGTATCTGCAAAGAGGATGTTATGTGACCATACAAATTTTTGATGAGAATTGGATGGTCTATAAATTTTTCATCGTTTTTGTTATGCAAGTTTAAAGTCTTCAAAGTGACTCAACAGTCATTCTGGTATTACTTTTGGGCAGAAAAATCAAGTCTGTCATTTGTTCAGAATCACTAACCATCATCCTTGTGAGCTTACAGTGATAGTGCTAGACAAATTCTGAAAGAACCGATTCTGAACTTCTGATTTAGTCATTTCTGCCTTTCTTCCTGCACAAACCTACGTAGGGTTGTAACAAATTTGCATAATACCAATGGTCTTCATTGGATGCCCGCGAATAACGTCTACTTTGACCGCCCTCAAACACTGTAGTTGCAGTTGAGGCCTGGAAGAGTTTAATTTGTGTTGTTGACATGTCGAGAAGACGCTGTTTTCTGTGCCGCAAAAGCAAATCCACTTTGCATGAGCTTCCAAAGGATAAAACCGACGCCATTGTTACTGTTTGTATCACTGTGTATATCCAATGTTGAGGAAGCCTCCGGAGCTGAAATTCAGATATGGTAATGGACGTTTTGTTTTTTTACATGCGCTGTAAGCGGTAGACCAATCACAACAGACTGGACTGACCAATCAGAGCAGAGTATGCTCTGAGGAAAGGAGGGATTTAGAGAGACTGGATACTCGATCAAAGACACTGTGAGAAAAGAGGTGATGCTGCAATGTATATTATGAGAAAGTTTTGTATATAAACCTATTGCAGGAGACTCCAAAACTATAGGAACCTTTAAATTAGCATAATAGGGGCACTTTAATGTACATGGACAGTATTTCTATGAGCTTTGCAAAGGAAAATGGATTAAGCAGAAGCTGTCTCGTAAGTTCTGCAGTAACACATGTACAGTACAAGCCTAGCTGAAGTGTTGTTTGGAAGCTGTACTGCACAAGCCCACACAAACACAAGTGACGCAAATGCAGTATTTTCTCCCGAGTGTTGCTCCTGAAGTCCTGATGGCGATGGATACAGCTGACAGTGTCATAATGAGCAGCAATGCTGTGGGTTGGAGGGCTTCACTCATGTCAGATACACAAGCTAATGACACACGGAGAAAGCAAGACTTATGTCCAAGCATATATCGTCAATCGAGTGAGTCCTGCTGGCGGACCGCACTGTGGATGGCGTAGCCGTCTTAACATCCTCGCAGAGACGATAATGGTGTATGTTCACGCATGTGAAACAGAAAAACACATGTGATGTTTAGACAGCCGTGCATTCAAGTAAATGTGATTACGCACATGATTACACACAGTGGCAGTTTTGCAGAGACTGTTTGATCATCAACTATCCACTATAGCTGCCAAATGGTGCACGTGTGTAAGTGTCGTGTCTCTTCAGTGTCTGCTACCCATAAGCACAACACAGTAGCATTTTTGAGGACTTCAAAATGTACCGCAGCTGAATGAAAAAGGCTTTAAAGCCCTACAGCTGAACTCATTTCTCATTCCCCAGCTCTTGCAGGGATGCTTTGCGGGTTTCATGGCTGAACCATAACATTTCCATAGACTACAGCAGGCTGGATCTGGTGGGTCATGAAAGATTTGGAGTGTACGTTCATGCCAGGTTGTAATTACAACTTATAAACTCTGAATTTTCTAAAAGCTCTGACATCCACCTGATCGTTGCAGATTCAAAGATTAAAGTCCAAGAACATCACAGATTGTCATCTCGTAATCACGACATGGCGTGAACACGGCAATAGGTCTTACTGTGAACAATTCATCTGTGTACGTTTACTTTTTTTTTTTACCTCGGACATCTCAAAGTCCAATCAACAACTGACCCTCCTATATTTTGTTTCCTTTTCGATAATCTGTTTCACTCGGATGTCTGTCACAATACAAAAGAAAAGATCTGTCCCTACAAAAAAGTACTTCCTGCTTAGCTACTGTTCGTATGCTCTTACTTACTGCTCCGCGATTTTTCTCTATCGCTTTTATATTTTATTTTAACAAAGATGAAGTTCTATTTTATAGTTCTTGAAACAAAGTTACTTGCGTGACCACCAAACCAGACGGAACACACAACAGAGCTTCGTTATGGACGCCCTCAGCATACAGCTGGTGAGTCCCATGAATCTAGTCCTCCTCGACAGGTACTGAATGTAGATAAACAAGCCGTAACTGATCAACATACTAATCGTTGGCACAAACAGGGAGTGAGACCCAAAGGCACTCGAGACATCAGATTGCCACGAGCATCACATATTGCCGCAGTAGCATCCTCTACCCCAGATACGGCTATGACAAATATTGCAAACACTGGTTTCCTACCACCGCCTATACATCTTGAGAACAGATTTGAAGTATTAATGAATGTGAGTGCGGAATCCCCAAATATGATGAATGTGATCGAACACAGATGGAATCAGCCAGTAGCTAACACTGACGATAACTGGCGCTCAGGGTTGAGCAGACAGTGGCACAGCTCAGAGCGCAGCCGAGCCCAGGAATCTGATAGTGGGTGACTCCAATAATCAGAAACATTAGTAGCAGGACTACAGCTACGTGCTGCCTTCCACATGCAACAGTTTCTGATGTAAACAGGGATCTTCAGAACATTCTGATGAAACGCAAGATTGTAAATCGAATTATCATTCATGTGGGGGAGAATGGTGTTCGCAAAGAGCAGTTAGAACTCCTTAAGAGGTATTTCAATCAACTTTTTGAAACACTTAGAAGACTGAAAGTTCAGCCGTTCATCAGTGGACCACTCCCAGCAAGAGGAACAAAAAGGTTTTCACTGTTGCTTGGGCTTAAAAAATGGCTGCAAAAAACCAGCAACATAAAAGGAGTGAACTTCATTGACAACTTCAATCTTTTCTGGAGTCAGATACAACTGTTTAAACAGGATGGCCTCCACCCAAACAAACTTGGTGCAAGAGTGCTAAAGGACAATATCTACTTCTCCCTCCATCATCCTTCTGCAGTGTATGCCAATCCACTCAACCTGAATGGCACACACACACGTGGACAGAGAATGAATGAACACAGGACTTAATTTCAGCACCTGAATGGATATGTGGTTGACAAGGACAATGATAACACCACGCAGCCACAACAACCTCTGCTCACGGTCACAATCTCAGCTGAGCCCTGCCCACAGACAGACTGTGACATATTAGAAGTGCTCCAAGATTCAGCACCCAAGGACGACTTTCTGGAAAACAGCCAGGGAAGCCAGGACAACATATTACAGCCTCCGGTAACACCAGAGCAACAGCCCCTCTCACCAGAAATGTTATCCCTCTCTCCAGCATCTCCACTTCTGTGCTTCTCAGAGAAAATGGAGGAACTGGTGTATGCTGGAACTAAACTATCCAACAGATTCTCATCCTTTGGCGTCATATAGGTGACGCCATATGACATTTCGTCGAAATACTACGCACATGGCACCCTTTAGCGTAAATATGAGACGCACTGTTATGGGTAGGTTTAGGTCTGGGGTAGGGTCTGCGTCTCATATTGACGCTAAAGGATGCCAGTAACCTGTATGACGCCTTGGGTTCTGCGTCTCATATTTACCATAAAGGGTGCCATGTGCGTAGTATTTCGACTAAATGTCATATGGCGTCACCTATATGACGCCAAAGGATGAGAACGGGCTCAAACTATCCCACTCTATTAATACTGTCAAGTTAGCACTTTTAAACATCCGCTCACTTAAAAATAAATAACTTCTAGTCAACGACTTTAATTTATGTCAACCTGAATTTTATGTTTCTATATGAAAAAT